TGTTAAAAGGAGTTTCGGTCTAGACCTGCTCTATTTGAAAAGTGTCCTGAGATAACTTCTGTTATGAATTGGAGTCTTAAAATGCCAATAAAATAAAAAAAAAGTTAATAAAAGTAATGTGGACGGACACTTGGTCATAACCACAGCCACATTGAGACAGTGAGACAGTGAGGCTGCCTCAGAGAGAGACAAGTATTTCTTATGTATTTCTGTAGCTTGTAGCTCCCTCTGTTGGAATAAACTTGTGGTGCCGGTTGTGGGATAGTAATAAGAAAGACTCTACGTGGACTCTATGTGGAGTCCAGGAGCTTCCAGTAGCTTTTTAGGGGCCTCCAGGAGCTTCCATCAACAAACCACTGAGTGAACCTGAGAGAGAGATCTGATCTCTATTGATGACCTTGACTGGCAGGAAGTGTTAATATACAATCAGCGCTCTGCTGCAGGTGGAACTCAGTGATCCAGTTTGTGGTTGTGTGTGAAGGTATTGGTCTGGTGTTGTAGAGTTACAGGTCAAACATGTGTACAGATGTAACATATTCAATCTAGGATTGACGCTCTGTATAAAGTCTGGGACATTGACCGAGAACCTATCGGACCCATGCTGTTCCTTATTGCAAGAAGGGTCCTGTAATTTTGTTTGTTTACATATTTATTTGTTGGAATCTGTCATTCTCTGAGCTGGAGGAAGGATTTAATGCCTTATTCTCATTTTATTTTACTATGTCTGAGCTGTGTTGTATATGAAACATCATTTATTTATTTCAATAATAGTTATATTGTACATTTTATTTGTATATATTGTCTCTATTTTTTATCTTTACTTATATTTGTCTTTGTTTATTCTAATGGATCAATTTAACAAGACAGTTTATTTTTGTGTGAAAACCTGATTCTGATTGTGAAAATACAATAAATATATTGTTGAAAAAGAATGAAGATCATCACTCACTGAAGTTGTTGTTATCGGTGGAACCAGCAGGGGGCAGCATCCACCTGAGGACTGAAACACAATAATAACTGAGAGGAAACAGACGGCTGAGGAGTGACACACAAAGCATCAGGAAAGTTTATCCTTCACTTTGATTCACTCACACTGTGACTCACAGTATTCTCCAAAATTACAAAGTACACTACGACACAGACTGAGGGGACCAGGACTGGGGTCAGTTCCTGATCTTGTGCCACTACGCTTCCATATCTTTATTGAAGTGAACCAGTGATGGATCACACTCACACATAAAGCATACATCAACATAAGCCTGATTTGCACAGGATCCAAGCTGATGAAGGTACGGACAGATAACAACACGTGGCCAAAATAACATACTGTCAATATCTTAGGGACCCCCAAAAATCCTCAAATCATGTTTTGTACAGGGCCCCCCTGTAGTTCACACTCTGTATATGGTTCATAAATATATATGAAGATGGAGACAGAATAAAGTATACTGAAGCATTGTTACTTTCATCATCAGAGCTTCACTTTGTACAGTAAATGTAATTAGCTGCTTCTCACCTGATGAACTGAATGCAGGTGGTTTGTGGGTAGTGTAGTCTGAACTCTGTGTGTGTGTGTGTGTGTGTGTGTGTGTGTAGAGTGAGTTCAGGTGAGACTGGGGGTCAGGGGTCAGCCTGAGGTCACAGGTCACATGGTCTGACCCTGATGTTCAGGTGAGACAAACATTTGACCTTCAGGTAAACTCACCTCACCTGTTGTCTGCAGCACGACGACTGACAGCAGGGGAAGCTGGGAAAAATTCCCTGTGTGTGTCTGTGTGTGTGTGTGTGTGTGTGTGTGTGAGAGTATGTGTGTGTGTGTGTGTGTGTAGATTGTTGGACTGATAAAACAGAGTTGAAGAGTTCAGGGGAGAAACAAAGCCATCAACATGACTTTAATAACAGGCTGTAACACACACACACACACACACACACACACACACACACTGACTCTGTGTGTCTATTGATGTTAAACTACTTCCTGTTCTGATGATCCTGCAGTAACCAACGTTTACCGTTTACACAACTCTCTTATTAAAATCATAATAAACATAAATTCTATCAGAAGGCAGCAGTATAATTCACCGTCCAACTGGAGTCAACCAGCTGGACTCTGTGGTCCCCCTTCGGTCTGTGGAGCTCTGAACCTCCAGTTGGGCTTTATGGTCGTCTCCATGTTGGTGTTGAGCAGCCAGCAGAGGTCACATACTGTGGGTTGCTCTGCTCTCATTGGCTGCTCTTGGTTTTGGAGCCAATGTGGCTCTGCTGCTACACGGAGTCTGGTGTTCCAGAAGTATACCCAGATAAATGTGTTTGCTGACAGATTTGAGGAGAAAATAACAAACTGGATCGTGTCAGATGTTTGCACTTGTGAGAGTTTGATGGTTGAGGCTGGAGGCTCATGAGAATGAGCTGTCGATGAGCAGGTGCCCGGGTAGCCCAGCCCTAAAGCATACCCTGCTTTATGGTCTGTTTGACTCTAAATGGGACCATCAGTTACTAAATGAACATCATGCTGTATGGAAGAAGACTGAAGACCAGAAACTCATCAGGAAACTGTTAATAAATCAACATCAGACTGCATGTTATTGCTTTCTATTGCAGCCAATGGTGCTCCCCCTGCTGGCCTTTACCAAGAACGCACGTTTAAGACACCTCACAAACCCAGAAGCTCTGTCGGTTATTGATACTGTCAGTGGTGAGTATGAAGGTTTGTGCTCCTCATGTGATGCAGCTGATGAGTGTCACACTCTCTAATGCAACCAGACTTACCCGCTCTTCTCTGAACCAGTAAAATACTGATATTAAGACAGTTCACAGCCACATTCATCGTCATGTTTGACAAGAGATAGCCGCTCACACTCTTGCTCATTCACAGGTAGCAGCTGGAAAGTTTGTACCAATTAGTAAAATAAATCTAAATTATTGTGAAAGTAAAAGATCGCAGGTCGCAAATTTGGTGAAAAAGGCTCTAGGTTCCTAAATGGTCCTTCCTCCTAGGGCCCCTAAAGAAATGACCTCCTCAAGCACCTGAAAACAGTGACACAGCAAGGACCCTGAACCATCTTCTTCAGGATCCTAAAAGAAACAGAATTGATGAAAGAGACCCCTAAACAAAGAGGTCCCTTAAGAGAGTACCAGCCCCCTGGGTACCATCAAGACCCACTCAAATCCAGGTTCAGGAACAGAATTAGGTCCAGGTCCAGGCCAAGGTTCAGGTCAGTCTGTCAGAGTCAGGTCCTTATGACCTCACATGCACTCTGCTGGAGTCTGTGAGTCTGTGTAAGGAGGTCATGGACAGGTGACAGGTGAGTCAGTCTCTGCAGTAACAGGATAACTATTACTGAGGAGCTTTTAGTGTGACAGGTGCAGGATTTACTGTCCTGTGAGTCACACAGAAACCCAGAACCTCCTCCTCTTCAGGGTCCTAAATCACATACAGGAACCTTCATGATGTCAGCACAGTACTCTCATGGGTTGGAAATTGGGTTGTTCAGACTCACCTAGTCCCGGTCTGTCTCCATGGTGTCTTTTAGGCCAGGAACTGGTCAAACTGGACCTATTTCACCAGAAACAGGTCAAAGTGGGTTCATAATGAGAGAGACTTATTTAACAGGAACTGGAAGATTTAACCCAGGTCTAAGTGGTTCATAATACATACACATAGCCCAGGTGTTACTGGTCCAAAAATATATACCAGGCCTCTTACCCTGGATCCAAAAGGTCCAGAATTCTGCAGCAAAGGTCTCAATCCAGGTCTAACTGCAGTCTCACACTCTGCAGTGATGTCCATAGTCAAAGTCTTAGTGGTCCAAAACTACACAGGGATTCTTTGACTATGTCCAACTGGACCTGGAACCTGCATCATCCATCGTATTGATCAGCCAGGATTAGTTTCAGTGAAGTTGAAAGTTATTTATTCTGTGTGTTGAACAACCAGACTTGTGGTTTAATTTGCTGTTGGCTCTTGTTGTTGTTGTTGTTGTTGTTGTTGTTTTAAACTTTATTTCAAATTTTAATAAAGCTGAAAGAGTATGAATGTTTGAATCTTAAAATGTGTTCATTTCTGAAATGATTTAATTTCTACTTTGTGTTGTGACTTACAGATTTATTAGAAGCAGATATTTAACTCTAATTCTGATTATTGACTCTTCTGTTTTTATATTTCATTCAGTCGAATGTCAAAAACCCTCCAGGGACCACAGACTGGAACCCTCTCTGATCTGGTGTCAGTTTATTAACATATAATAAACCACACACTCAGAAATATACATCTATAAAGCTGTTTGTTGTTTTCTTGTCTCTGTGTTTACTTTCTGTTTTGGATAAATAAAGTTATTTTACGTCTGTCGTCGTCCTCCTCCTCCTCCTCCTCCTCCTCCTCCTCTTCCTGCTCTTCCTCCTCTCAGTATTTTGGTGTAAGTGTCCTTTAATCCAGTGGCTCATCCAGTTAATCCAGTGTGATAATGGTGAGCAGTGATCAGTTGTTCCGCTCTGTTACTCGCTCATTAACAGCTTTAAAGCTGCAGACTGGAACCAGTCGACCAGAATAACAACCAGTAAACGCACCAGTCTGACCTGAGATCAGCACTTAGAATATATCTTTATATATATTATATTATATATATTATATATAATTCATCTAATTCAGGATAAACCTCTCCATTTATATTTTACCTCGTTCATTAAACCATTGTTAATTATGTAATTATGGTGTTCAAAGGGGATATTAGTGGATACATTCATTAGATTATGATATATAAAAGTAATTTAATGGATTATTTATGAGATGTGGTTCAGAAAAAGCAGATTATTCTGTTTGACAGGTGAAGAATGAAATTTAATCTCTTCTTTTTTTAATTTAAACTCTGTTAATGGATCAATCCAACAAGATCTCAGGGTCATAAATCTCAACTTAATATAATATAATATAATATAATATAATATAATATAATATAATATAATGTAATATAATATAATGTAATGTAATATATGTAATGTATAATATAGATATTTTTATGGATTATCTCTTACAAAAATCTTAAACCAGAGCAAACAGCATGAATGTGGATTAACTTCAGGTATTTTTGTAGTTTTTAGTTTCACTGTTTGTAGTCCAATAATCAATCAGGAAAATAATTCCTGATCAAAGGGTCCAATCTTCACTTACTAAGAGCTTTCTACAGCTCCCATGGTCTTCATCATCAGAGCTTCCTCAGTCCTGGAAAGGCCAGTAAGGTGACCTTGAGCCAAGATCTGATTTCACTCTGAGAGCCTCAGTTAAGGTGGAAATTCAGAAATGTTTGAGCACTTTTAAGGATTTTTAGACGACCTTAAAACCTGCAGATGATCAATTAAAACCATTTATTTTTTATTACCCACTAATTGATCCACTAATAACTCCAGCTGAGGGCCTTGTGAGGTTCTAATTCACTGGACAGGAAATATAAAGACAGGATTTAATTTGTTTCAGTCCAACAGTTAAAAAGCTTGAAAGGGATCCACTAACACTGATTCATGAACTCATTAACAGCATTCATAATTATTAAATATAAATATTAAGGACATTAAATATAATTTAAGGACATTCAGTATATATAAAATAAGTGAAGAAATGTTCAGGAAAAGCGGGACTCTAAAGTTCTGGTTCCAGAGCTTCATCATTTTTCCATTATTGTTATTAATTGATTAATTAATTGATTAATTCATAACAGTGTGTGTGTGTGTGTGTGTGTGTGTGTGTGTGTGTGGAGGAGGAGATG